AAGAGACTCTAAAACAAATCTCCAAATAGCGGGATTTACAGGCTCTCTAAAAAATGGCTCTCCAAAACTAGAACACCACAACAAACTCTTCATATTTTAATGCTCTTTTTTTCTCAGCCGAGGTTGCAAACATGCATGATCCTGTCCGGAAGTTGAGTTTTCTCTAATAACCAGAAAAATAATGCAAACATGCACTCCCAAGGTGTATGGGACTACTAATTTTATTAGTTTTCTTTTGGGAGACAGTAATAAGCTGATTGGTGCAAATAGTGTCAACTTTCTGAATTGATTTTTTTTTGGCGAGAAGCTTTCTGTATTGAATTAAGTTCCAAAGAAAGTGCACAAAAGTTTGTTGGGGCAGTACGACTGGTAGCCGCCAGGGAATGGGAAACACGTATGCAACATACGAACGGAGATGAGGACTGGCACTCGCTAGAGGTGGAGGAGCTCGGGAGATGGCCGCGCCAGAGGGGAAGGAGTGCAGGGGAGGGCTGCACGCGAGAGATGGGGGGCATCCGCAAGAGGTGGAGGAGCGCAGAGCGCAAGCCGCGGGACACAGCACCAGATAAATTAGAGAGGCCGATAGAGAAGCTGCCGGACACGTTTTTAACCCTAAATAGCTAAATCGGATTTCGCGGAGAGATTTTGATAATCTCGAGTTGCTCTAAGGTCTAATACTGTAGGCTAAATATAGCATAAGCAACCAATCCTATCATTCACAGATGATGAATGCATAGCTTTTTTTTAAACAAAGGATGTATAACCTTAGTTCTGCTAGATGAGTGCCCGTGTATTGCAACGGGTGCAATATAAATTGAATGAGATGTTTGCTAGCCAAGTCAAAATCAAGAATATATCAATTCAAATTTTCACATGTATTATACCATGATAATGTCTAGAAACACATTCTGAAATAAAAGATAGGCTTGGAGCTTATTGTCTGAAAGTTACGACAAACATCAGTTGCCACAAAGGCTAAAAATTTATTGCTAGGCATCGAATTGAATTTATCCATGCTCTGTCTTGTCCAAAACATGTATACTCGGACTTACAATATTCTAGCCCGCATGAGGCATGGCAACAATTCATTTTTGTCAACACGCAACGCGAAGGACGACGAACAAGATTTGGATCACGATCATGATCATTGCGTGGTGATATTCCAATAAGAGTAAAATGCACTGGAGGTCCATTAACTTTTATTGGAGTGTCATCAAGATCCATCAACTTTGAAACTGCATTTTTGGGTCCATGAACTTTTAAAATGGTTCACTACAGGTCCGTGCCATTTATTTAACCTTAAATCCAACGTACATTTGCAGAAAACCCCCTACCTTTCTTTATCTTCTGACACGGTCGCCGTCCGCGCACCTCATCAAGCGGCTGCGCCAGCACGAGGCGTTGCAGCGCCGGTGCGGCCCGAGCACCGAGGCGTATAGGGCCGCGGCCGCGCGGCTCAGGTCCTGGCGCCGTAATGGCACCAAGGACGGCGTCTGCAGGTACCTCATGCTGGTGCCATACAGGGGCCTCGAGAACAGGATCCTGGCCGCGGCGTCGGCGTTACTCTATGCCGTGCTCACCGACCGCGTCCTGCTCCTCGACGGGAACACGTCGATGGGCAAAATCTTCTGTGAGCCGTTCCCGGGGACCTTGTGGCTGCTGCCGCAGCACTTCCCGATCAGTAACCTCTAGAACCTGATGGGCGACGTGCGGGAGAGCTATAGGAACCTGGTGCAGAACGATAGCGTGGTGTCGCTTGTGTCCAGGCTCCCGTACGTGTTCGTGGACCTTGACCATTACTGCACGTACCACGACAAGCTCTTCTTCTGCGACGACGATCGGCAGTTCCTCCGCCGCGCGCCGTGGCTGGTGATGAGGACGAACGGCTACTTCATGCCGGTGCTATTCCTGAACCCGGCGCACCAGGACGAGCTTGACAGGATGTTCCCTCGGAAAGACTCGGTGTTCTACCTGCTGGCGCACTGCTTGTTCCACCCGACGAACAAAGTGTGGGGACTGATCACGAGGTTCCATAGCTCGTACCTGAGGGACTCAGACGAAAGGCTGGGCATCTAGGTCAGGGTGTTCGATGGGGACACTCCGTTCCAGCACATCTTGGATCAGATCCTTGCCTGCACCTCGCAAGAACATCTGCTCCCCGACGTGGTGACGCAGGAACCGCCCCGTCCGTCGATGGCTGGTGCGCGGTTGAAGGCTGTCCTGATGACCGGCCTGAGCTCGTGGCACTATGAGAACATCCGGTGGAAGTACTGGCAGTCGGCGACGGCCACCGTCGAGGTCGTGAGCGTGTACCAGCCGAGCCACGAGGAGCACCAGCTCTCCAGCTACACGACGCATGACATGAAGGCGGTGGCGGAGATGTACCTCCTGGGCGTGACCGACAAGATCGTCACCAGCGGCTGGTCGACATTCGGCTACATCGGCCACGGCCTCGGCGGCATCACGCCGTGGATCATGTTCAGGCCCGAGAACCACACCACGCCATACCCGTCATGCCGGCGCGCCAAGTCGATGGAGCCGTGCATACACGGGCCGCCGTTCTACGACTGCATGGTGAAGCACGGCGCTGATACGGGACAGCCGATGCCGCATGTTCAACACTGTGAAGACATGAGCTGGGGGCTCAAACTTGTTCACCCCGAGTGAAACAGCAATAATGAAAAGGATATTTTTATGACTCGAATTCGTGTGCTATTTCTGCGGATTTGTTCATTTCCACTAATGTACAGATAGATAGTACCATTGCGTAGAAGCAAGCATCTATGCACGAGCAAAATCAGTCGAACAGTTTGAGGCCACCGCCGGACTCCACATCTTCGCAGTGTCGCATGAAGGGCAGATGTGCCATCCGGTTAAGATCCTGTTCCGCCCGGCAGACGAGCGACGGCGGCGAGTGCAGGCATGGCTCCACCGACGCTGGCCTAATGCAAGCCATGGCGGCCCTCTGCGTAGTGAGGTCCGGCAGCATCAGCAGCCAGGGTCGCAGCCCAGCCAGCGAGTGCGCGATGTAGCCGAATGTCGAGAACCCCGTGGTCATCAACCTGTCGCAGTAGCTGAGCAGGAAGATCTCGGCCAGGGTGCGCTCGTTGTGCTCCCGCGCCTCTGAGTGCTGGTCCTAGTCGTGGCTCGGCTTGTACACCATGACAACCTCGCCGGTCGCCGTCGTGTTGGTGTAGTACACGCTGTGCAGCTTGTCGTAGTACTCGGCTTCAGGGAGACCACCAGCACGGCCTTCACCTTGGCCGCCGTGCCGTTGGACGACCAGGCACGAGGTACCTACAGACGCCGTCCTTGCTGCCGTTGCGGCGCCAGGACCAGAGCCGCGTGGCCACGGCCCTGTACTCGGTGCCCTAGCCCACCGGTGCTGCAGCGCCTCGTGCTGGCGCAGCCGCTTGATGAGGTGCGTGGACGGCGACCGTGTCAGAAGATAAAGAAAGGTAGGGGGTTTTCTGTAAATGTACGTTCGATTTAAGGTTAAATAAATGACATGGACCAGAACCATTTTAAAAGTTCATGAACCAAAAAATGCAGTTTCAAAGTTGATAGACCTAGATGACACTCCAACGAAAGTTAATGGACCTCCGGTGCATTTTACTCTTCCAATAAATTTATTTCTCTTCCCATAATTCTCTTTCCGTTTTATTCAATTTTATTTACTTGCCTTCCAGTGTCTCTATGCGGTGATTATTTGTCTGCCGGTGATTCCGTGAGGGTACATTCCTTCTGTGTTTCCATTGCGTTCCACGGTGTTTGCAGGGTTTTTTTTTGCCGCGTGCGCGGGATTGACTCCCGTGCGTGTGTGATTGACGTTGATTTTTTTCCTCTGTGTGTGAGTGATGGGGATTTTTTTTATGCCGGATAGTCATAAATGGCATGAGTGTTTTAGTCCCGCCGGGTAGATGTTGACGATCCGTATGTTTTAGAGATAGAGAAGAGATGCATACTACTACAATGGTATTCATTTACATTTCTCTTGCACTACCAGAATTCTAAATTATCTTGAGGGTCAAGAATTTTTTTCATTGACAAAATGAAACTATTAAGGAAAGTGCAGTTTGGTTGGCTGGGAACATAGACTTCCAAGAAAATCCATATTCTTGACATCTAAACCAACAAACCACGAAGGCAATTTTTTTTTGGGAACAACCACCAAGGCAATTACTCATTTCCTTGAGTGCTACTATTATTTATAAATACTTTGTTCCATCATCTCCAACTACGAAAATTGATTTTCCTAACTTCCTATTTACACAGTAGGCTTTGTTGTGGCCCTTGATTTGAATTGAGATTATTACCATGAATGAATAGGCCGGCAAGGTGAAAAAAAATCAAATGTGGAGTTTGGACGGACAACAGCATGCTGGGAGGTACGGAGCACGTAAGTACACATGTGTGCAACCCTTCTAAATTTTAGTCGCTGTCTCATCGGATGTTTGACACGTGCATAAAGCATTAAATATAGACTAATTACGAACAAGACGAATCTTTTAAGCCTAATTGGTCCATGATTTGACAATGTTTTGCTACAGTAAACATGTGTTAACGACGGATTAATTAAGCTTAAAAAATTCGTCTCATAGAGTACCGACGGATTATGTAATTTGTTTTTTTATTAGTATCCGAACACCCCATACAACATCCTCCCGACACATCTCCTAAATTTTAGTAGCTAGATCCAAACACCCCCTAAAACACCCTTGGTTGAAAACCGGGAAGAATCACTGCATTAAAAATTGTAAACATACAAATTTGAGCCGAAGAGAACCCAAGCTACGACGATTAGAGTATGCACTCATAAATCTTACAAACTGAACTCAACATCAAGTGCTTTGTGTAATCACCTCCAAGGCTCCAACTACGAGAGAGATACAGATACTCCTATGTTTAGTGTAACCAAAGTGCAGGCTTCACATAAAACACAAAGGATTTGAATATTTGGATTCCCAGCCGCGAATGAAGGACGTTCATCAGTGTTGAAGCTAGGCTAGAAGCACCTCTTCGATGAGCTTGTCCACGTTGCGCATAGACCGTCCGTCAGGCCTCGCCGCGGCCACGGCGCTGTCCCTGAGTTGCGTCACGCGCCGGCGCATCTCCTGCCCTTTCTTCCCCTCCATGGCCTCCCGTATGAGCGCCTCTACCTCGCCCCGCCGCACGTCATCACCGATCTCCATCCCGATGCCCCACTCGGTGCGCTTGTACCGGCAGTTGGTCTGCTGCTCGGCGAAGAAGGGCCAGCACACCATGGGCACGCCGCCGCAGATGCTCTCCAGCGTGGAGTTCCACCCGGAGTGCGTCAGGAACACCCCCACGGCCTCATGCTCCAGCACCGCCGCCCGCGGGCACCACGTGGACAGCATGCTCCGTCCCTCCGTCGCAGCTGCGAACTCCGGCGGCAGCCCGGTGGAGTCGCCGCCCTTGACAAGGTCCGGACGCACGTTCCACAGGAAGGCGTAGCCGGTGTTGGCCAGCCCCCATGCGAACTCGACCAGGTGCTCGTTGGACATCACCGTGATGCTCCCGAAGTTGACATACACAACGGAGCGCGGTGCGCGGCCGTCGAGCCAGCGGAGCGGCGCCTCCTGCTCCTTCCACAGGTTGGACCCAATGGCCGCGACAGGGCTGTCCGCCGGCACGTTGTTCCGCACCGTCAGCGGGAGCGGGCCCACGGTGTAGATGGGCGGCAGGAGCTTCGCCATGGCGTCCAGCAGCGTCGCGTCGATCTCGTCGAAGGTGTTGATGACTACCGCCGACGCCTGCGACATGCCCGCCGTCTCGTCAATGAAGAAGTTGAGCATGATGTCATCGGGATCCGTGGTGCGCACGAAGCTCGGCAAGTCCCGGAGCCGCAGGTCCTTGGGCGCGCCGGGGATCCAGTCGACGACGGTGTCCAGGTACCCGTCGGTGAGATGCGCCTCGCTCTTAAGCGGGACGATGCCACGCTCGACGAGGTGGCGGTAGTGGTAGTAGCCGATGAAGCCGCAGGCGCTGGCGGTCCAGAGCGTGGCGCAGCGCAGTCCGAGCTCCCGCGCGGCGCGGAGCGCGAAGGTCATGGTGCTGTCGCCGACGACGCACGTCACGGCGGATCGTCCCTCGGCCTCGACCTCGGCGTTGATCCTGGCGACGAGGTCCTTGAACCGGGGCAGGCAGGTGGTCATGGTGGAGTGGCAGAGCGCGGGGACGTCCTGGGTGGCGTCGGCTTCGGAGAGCGGGAGGCCGTCGTCGATGGCGGCTAAGCGAAACCCCTCCGTGCCGTCGAGCGCGCTGGGCCCTCGCGCGCGCAGGTGGCGGCGGTGGTTGAACTCGTTGTTGACGAAGGTGACGTGGAAGCCGCGAGTATGGAGGAGCTTGGCGAGCTGCAGCATCGGCGTAACGTGGCCCTGCGCCGGGTACGGGATCATCACGACGTGCGGCTGCCGTCTCTGCCCGTCCACCGGCGGCAGCGAACCAATGATGATGACTGCTCTTGCTACTGCCTACTGCCTACTGCCTACTTGCGACTGGTGGTGGCTAGCGGGCTACCACTACCACTCCAATGTCCAAGGCTCCAAGAAGCTCGCCACAGAAGGTGCTGAGCTGCTTGCTAGAATTGGTGATTTGCCTAAAGGCTATTCGTGTTGCACTTGAGCTCTTGCCGCCGCCATTTTTATTTAGGGACAATTGTCCGGCGGACATCCAAAGTGATGGTCGTTTGCTGACGGATATCCTGTTTTGAGCAGTTTGCCATTCTTTGGTTCGTTGAAATTATGTCACAGGACACCGTGGCCCGGTTTCAGCCGGTTGAGGAGAGAGAAAATTTTGTTTTGGACATCTAGTGTCCCTAAGCCACACTTAGGTCCGACCCCAACCTGGTCTGGTTGGACCCGACGGAGGGGATGGCGCCGCTGTACCCCAACGCCAGCATCCACGTGTAGAAGCATGGGCTCTGCTCCCACGGTTGCACGTGTTGACGTCGCCGTCGCCACCGTCGCTGGCCTCGTCCAGGAACCCCAAGAGCTCGACAGCGCGCAGGTGGCTGCGGGTGCTCTCCACGCCATCGTGCACGCGGGTGCAGAGCGCGGCGGCGTTCCCGAGCTTCTCCAGCGCGCACCACACGCCAGGGGTGTCCCCCGTGAGGTCGTCAACGGAGTCGAGTGGCGCGGTCGGGCATGGCGCTGCCGCGGAGCGCCAAGTGGTGGGCCGCGCACATGCTGGTGACGACGAGGCCGAGATCCATCGAGGCACCCTCAAGTGCGCGCGGCGCCGCCTCCGCGCGGGCCCCTGGTGGCAGCACCCATTCTGCACGTCGGCGCCCACGGCCTCGAGCACCCCGAGGAGCTGCTCATGGATGTTGTGGCAGTGCTTGGCCGCCATCACCACCCGCCGTTGGAACATGGCCTTCCAAGTGGACTCCACTTCTTCCATTTCCATCTCCTATCGCTTGCTCTCGGTGGTCGGTGCTTGTTTCTGGAAGGTCCCAGCATGAGCAACTGGGCCCGAGCAGTGGCGGCGCGTAGCAGGCAGCGGAGACGGTGGCCCAGACAGCCACGGCGCGTGGCAACGAGCTGCAGCGGTGGCGCGCAGGAGGCAAGCAGCGGCAACGGCGGGGCGAGCAGCCGGGCCCAGGCAGCAACGGCGTGCGGCAGCGAGCTAAAGCGGTGAGCGCTCTCAGCAGGCAAGCAACAGTGGCGGTGGCGCGAGCAACCAAGCTAGGGCAGCGGCAGCGGGTGGCAGCGGGCTATAGCGGCACACGCGTAGCAGCACCATCGTTGGCCGGATTTGGCCACTGGCTATGCATTGTGCTCTGCTCTTGGAGTCCGCAGCAGCCCTCGTGTCCACGGCGTAGCCAGGTGAGCTGAGGAAAAAAAGAGAAAGGGAGAGAGAGGAAGAAGAAGGAGCCAGGGGCAAAAAGGACGTCGGAGGCGCAGTCCCGGGCGCCGGGGGCGCGGCGTTGAAGCAGGCTGTCGAAGGCACGCCCCACCGGAGGCGTGAGGCTGGGGCGCAGCGTCGAAGCGAGCCGCCGGAGGCGCGGGCGCCCACGACGGCGTGATGCGCGATGGCGGGTGCGGGAGGTGGAGAGGGTGGCGGGGACAGGAAACAGAAAAAAGAGTGGGAGGAAGAAGAAAGCATAAGGGGTAAAAATGTCATTTCACCGCTGTTCTCTCTTCTCAACCGGTTGCAACCGGTCCGCGGTGTTCTATGGCCTAATTTCACCGAACCAGAGTGTCTTTTTGTGAGTGTCCGCCAACAAAGAATCATCACTTTGGATGTCCAACAGACAATTATCTCCTTTATTTACATACATGCGTCGTCCACCGGGATGGGTCAGGGACACACCGCTAGCTCTCACGCTTCATGGCAGGCTGAGATGATCCGTATGCATTATTGGCCCCGTTCGTTTTGCTGAAAAAATAAGCCAAAACATTGTTCCGGCTGATTTATTGTGAGAGAAAAACACTGTTTCGGTTGAAAAAAATAAGCTGTAAAGTACGGATTATAAGACAAGCGAACATAGCCATTGCACCTTTTATTATCACCACGTGGTGATGCTCGAGATATGTGCCCGGCCCGTGCGCTGCACACCATTAGTTGTGTCAATTTTATTTTATTTCTGTATATACGCCGTAGAGTTTGTTGGGATTCTTGTACGGGTGGGACGTCGTCATCTGGATTGTCTTCAATGGGGTTCGGCGGCCGGGTATTGGACAGCGTGTCTTGACCGGAGCCAGAAGGGGACCGCGCATCTCCGGCCGGTTCACCATTTACTGCCCCCACACCTTCTGTTTATGTTTATTTAAACCCGATCCGATCCGAGCCCCATACGGCCGGGCGGCTACCGGCTTGACTTGAGAGCTTGAGTCCACTAGGACCACTACTATTTATTCACCTCGGCATGCTTTCTAGTAGTACGTACCATATATATGCAAAGAGAAAGACGACTTATATTAAATCTTAACGCAGTATATTTCTAAATTATACATGAAAAAATCAGATTTCTTCTCCAATGGTTTCTCTCAAACGCTAGAGCCAAAGTACAGCCTTATGGTCAACGACCAACCCAAAAACATTGGATATGCCGCAAGATCCAACGTTTTGTAACCAGTCCAAAACATATCTAAATTGCTGAAATAATATAGACAGTTACATCATCGTGTACGACATAGGATATAGATTCGAATTCCTCTACGGGACCATCGACAATGAGATCTATGCCCCGGAGTCACTGTCCTCATAGGGGCTCCCAGAAGTGATGAGTACATCACTTCTTCAGAGGCACCCACTGATCCTCCAACCGTCATGCAAGGTCCAATGACCCGGGGCTCGAATACGTCAACTTAATTTAGAGGTGAGCTCGTTCTTAAGCGATCCTTTTCATACTTTTGAGAATAGACTACTACCTAATAATGTTATCTTGCTTAGGAACATTGGAGAGGGTCAAGAGGGACTAAGAGGACGTGGAGGAGGTGATGATGACCAGCAAGGACATCCAACACGAATCGGAGGCCCAATCCAATATGATTTCGAGTCTGCCTCGGCCTCCAGGACCAATCTTCCTTAAACTGGTCACCCAAGACGCATCCGGACTCCGTTTTCGACGATCCACATATGGTTGGAAAGTTAATTTGATAAGGAAGCCAATCCAATTGGTCTCACATCAAAAACTCTTCGGAATCAACGGAAATTGTCGAAACAAGTCAGCATCTAGAATCTGTCTAGGTGCCGTGTCACCGTATTTGGTTCAATGGGCCGTGTATCGTCTTTGAGCCCGTTAGGGGGCGCGTCCAGTGTGGGCGATGACCCTAAAACCTTTATAATCATACGTCACCGCCGTCGTTAGGTTTTGGGTTTTGCTTAGATTATTCTGTCAAGAATAGTTTCGCTGTTCATCGGTTTGTGAGACCCCAACTTTGAGAGATTAATCATTCATCTGCAACTTGGTTGTGTTCTTTCTTATTTTTGCTTGTGTTCTTCGTTGCGCAGGCAGGGATTAGCCTTCTTGGCGAGGTCAACCTGGTCCGTGACTCGGTTGATAACCAGAGAAGCTGTGGTGTTAAGATTGCAGGGTTCGAGTGTTTCGCATTTATTCCCTAGTTTGAGTGTTTCGCATTCGTCCCATAGTCCAGTGCCATACTCGTTTTTCCTGTCCTAGAACATTCCGCACCATAGTCTTTGCATATTTCAGTTTCAGAGTCCGTCGTGTTGAGTTTGTGTCCTGGTCGAGGTCTTGTTGCTGGTTAGGTCATGTTAGAGTCCAGTTTGTCTGTTTTTCCCCATCATTTTCCATCAAATCTTTGTTGTTGTGACCAGTTGTGTGCACATTGTTCCCGTTTTGTCCTCTAATTCGGAGCCAATTCTTAAAATTAGTCTAGTTTTCGCATACGAACTCGGATTTCGACGTTCCATTTAACAAAATTGATCAGAAATTTTTTTTGGATCCATCCATCCCCGGAGTTGCCGGGGTTCGAAAATTTTATTTTGGTCAAAAACTGGTCACAAGATCCTCTTTTCGTGGTCACAAGGTTTTTATCGATTTTGAGCAAGTCTTCTGAAAATTCCACATGCCACGTCTTTCACCTATTTAAGCTTATATTTTCTGTGGTTACTTCTTTTGTGCTCCTAAGTAAAGAAAAAAATATCAAAAAAATAAAATAAAAAAGTCGAAATTTCCCAAAAAAACAACGATAGCCCAAAAAATAGAAAAAAGAGATGGGCTAAAGAGGAACAATATTTAGAGGAGCACATAGAGAAGACCAAAGTGAGCTATGTTAGCGTGTGCTGTCTGGTTCCTTGTTTGTGTTGCTGTTTCCATCTACCGTACTTGTTTCCACACACCTGTCACCTTGCTATCCACCATACTTTTGTCACACCTGGTACTTGGAACATTTTAGACCAGCAACGAGAACAGGTACTTTGGACTATAATTCAGCATTACTTTCGGTTACTGACTTCTATGCCAGATATACATATTACTCTTTGTTTGCCTTCCAAGCTCCACAAATTCTTCAGATCAGTACAGAAAAAGGGCTTTGCAATCTCGGTACCACTACCTCACAGGTATCACGAACCAGCCGCCGGTTCTACCGCCCACTGCTTGTGTTGGTAAGAACTTTGTTAGAGCTTGGTAAGACGCTTCCACTTGCTGTGAAAAGTGACACCATTGCAACCACGTAGTCATTTGGTAGGGATAACTTTCACCGTTTGTTCCTGTTTTTGTGTTTACAATGGCAGGAGGTGAACAGACTGGAGACAACAATCCTAAGAGTTTCAACAAGTGTGTCAGCCAAGAGCAACTTCAAGCTGTTGTAGAGGATGCCCAACAACGGATGAATGAGGACGTCAGGAAGGCCGTCGCTGACGCACTCATTGAACTCAACATTGGCAACAACATGGAGAGATTCGACAAATGAATTTCTAGGCTAACTGACAAGGTTACTGAGTTGGAAACCTTGGTGGCGGTCAACAACAATGATGTCTCTGGCAGCAACACTGATGGTCTCTTGCCAGAAGACATGGTGCATGATGTTGTTGGGAACTTAGATCGAGCAGCCTTCCGATAAGCAAGATTACGACGACGTCTTCGCCGCAACACGACAGGTATGGGTGGTGTCCACCACCATCAAGGTAATAATCACCGTGTACCCGATGTTCCTTATGCTAAGATTAAGTTCACAATACCATCTTTTTTGGGTCATTACGATGCTGAGGGATATCTTGATTGGGAGATGACAGTAGAACAAAAGTTTAGTGCCCACCTTGTGCCTGAGCATCATAGAGTTCGTCAAGCTACTAGTGAGTTTAAGGATTTTGCCATTATTTGGTGGAATGGGCTAGCTGCACAGGATGCTTTGCCGGCTTTCAAAAATTTTATTTTGGTCAAAAAGTGGTCACAAGATCCTCTTTTCATGGTCACAAGGTTTTTGTCGATTTTGAGCAAGTCTTTTGAAAATTCCAAAGGCCACATCTTTCGCCTTTTTAAGCTCATATTTTCTGTGGTTACTTCTTTTGTGCTCCTAAGTAAAGCAAAAATATCAAAAAAAATAGAATAAAAAACTCAAAATTTCCCAAAAAACAACGACAAGCCAAAAAATAGAAAAAAAAGAGAGGGGCAAAAGAGGAATAATATTTAGAGGAGCACATAGAGAAGACCAAAGTGAGCTGTGTTAGCGTGTGCTGTCTGGTTCCTTGTTTGTGTTGCTGTTTCATCTACCATACTTTTCCACACACCTATCACCTTGCTATCTACCATACTTTTGTCACACACCTGGTACTTGGAACATTTTAGACTAGCAACGAGAACAAGTACTTCGGACTATAATTCAGCATTACTTTCTGTTACTGCCTTGTGTGCTAGATATACATATTACTCTTTCTTTGCGTTCCAAGCTCCACAAATTCTTCAGATCAGTACAGAAAAAGGGCTTTGCAATCTC